AGAAACTGGGAGAAACTGGGAGAAACTGGGAGAAACTGGGAGAAACTGGGAGAAGCTGGGAGAAACTGGGAGAAACTGGAAGAAACTGGGAGAAACTGGGAGAAACTGGGAGAAACTGGGAGCAACTGGGAGAAACTGGGAGAAACTGGGAGAAACTGGGAGAAATTGGGAGAAACTGGGTTAAACTGGGAGAAACTGGGAGCAACTGGGAGAAAACTGGGAGAAACTGGGAGAAACTGGGAGAAAACTGGGAGAAACTGGGAGAAACTGGGAGAAACTGGTAGCAACTGGGAGAAACTGGGAGAAAACTGGGAGAAACTGGGAGAAACCGGGAGAAACTGGGAGAAACTGGGAGAAACTGGGAGAAACTGGGAGAAACTGGGAGCGGGGTGGGGCACGGGGCCGGCGGGATTCCCGGCCGGAATTCTGCTCCAGGGGCTCCAAATCCCGGGGGGATCCGCCCGGATGGATTGGGGATGGATGGGAAACATCGGGGTTAGGGTGGGCGCCTCCTCCGGGGGTCCTGGAATTGTGGGGTCCTGGAATTGTGGGATCAGATTTGTGGGATCCTGGAATTGAGGAATCAAACCATTATGAAATCCTGGAATTGAGGGATCCTGGAATTGTGGGGTCCTGGAATTGTGGGATCAAAAAGTTGTGAGATCCTGGAATTGTGGGGTCCTGGAATTGGGGGGTCCTGGAATTGTGGGATCAGAGTTGTGGGGTCCTGGAATTGTGGGGTCCTGGAATTGGGGGGTCCTGGAATTGTGGGATCAGATTTGTGGGATCCTGGAATTGAGGAATCAAAGCATTATGAAATCCTGGAATTGTGGGATCAAAGAATTGTGGGGTCCTGGAATTGTGGGATCAAAAAGTTGTGAGATCCTGGAATTGTGGGGTCCTGGAATTGTGGGATTAGAGTTGTGGGATCCTGGAATTGAGGAATCAAAGCATTATGAAATCCTGGAATTGGGGGATCAAAGAATTGTGGGGTCCTGGAGTTCTGAGGTCCTGGAATTGAGGGATCCTGGAGTTGTGGGATCCTGGAATTATGGGATCAGAGTTATGGGATCCTGGAATTAAGGGATCCGAGTTGTGGGATCCTGGAGTTGAGGGATCCTGGAGTTGAGGGATCCTGGAATTGAGGGATCCTGGAGTTGTGGGATCCTGGAATTGAGGGATCCTGGAATTGAGGGATCCGGGAGTTCTGTGATCCTGGAATAAAGAAATCCAAGAATTACGGGATCCCAGAAAAAAGGGATGCCAGATTTATGGGATCCTGGAATTGCGGAGCCCTGGAATAACAAAATCCGAGAACTATGGAATCCTAGACGAAGGGAATCCCAGATCTATGGGAATTGTGGAGTCCTGGAATAACAAAATCCGAGAATTATGGAATCCTACAAGAAGGGAATAGCAGATTTATGGGATGCTGGAATTGTGAAATCCAGGAATTGTGGGATGCTGGAATTGTGGAATCCTGGAATAACGAAACCCTACAATTATGGGATCCTGGAGGAAGGGAACGGCAGATCTGTGGGATCCTGGAATTGTGGAAT